CATCCCACACCCTTAACCAACCCCTGCAATTGCTCACTCTCCTTAAATACTCAAGTGTATTTCCACTGTGAGGATGCATATGTTCTCTAAGCGACATTTGTGATAGATGAAAACTACATGAAGGAAGTGCACAAAGAAAATATCAACAATTTTATTTATCAATTTATGTCAAACCTCCACAAGACAATCAGTATCAATCTTGTGTGTGTGTTCAGCCCAGAGCTGGAGGCAGGATGGGGTTAGCCTGGCTTACCGACTGGGAGCAGGGAGAAACAGCTAATATGTCACAAAAACAAAGGTTAAAAAGAATGGCTTGGGAGCTATATTAGCCATATTTCTTTATAAAGGGGTTATTCATGCCCCCAGTCTGTGCAGTGTGTCTGGCTACAGTGTAAGTACAGAGGTGCTTGCTGATTATATCTAGTTTTACCTGATCACTCAGCAAATACAGTTAAAAATTTATGTTGGCAAATACAAATAAAAAGACAACTTGACATTGGCGGATTGCTACTTCACTGTATTGTATAATTGTAAAAGTGAATAGTCCAAGCTATCCTTGTTTTACTGTAAACAAACTGACAATACCAGATACAAGAGCAGACTGCGAGAGAGGATTCAGAGATAGTGTAAACAGACTGGAGGTCAAGGTTGGGTGTGGACACATTCTGTCTACTTGTATAGCTCACATCCCCAGGCTTTCCAGAGTATGTCCCCAACCCTGCAGTCGAACTGTGGCACTCTGACTTCCTCAAAATCTGGAGACCTCATTTCATGGGGCGCCGGCCTGAGAGAGAACTTGTTTTTGAGGATGAAATTTGAGTTACAGTGGGTTATGTCAGATATGCAGCAGTGCCGGCACACAACCATACACTTTTAGTGTATGGAGTTTAGTACCCACATTTTTGCAAAGTGTCCGTATTAGATGCAATATGAATTAACATTATCAAATAAAAGTTGGGTCATACACACCAACACCAACACCATCTGAAATTCACCATTGGTAGATGGACCAAAAAGTAAATTTTTGGACCCTGCAGGTGACACTGGTAATTTTGAGAACAAAGATCATGGAGTTTACATTTAATGGCAGTTTCATTTAGATTTTTATAATGAACAATGTCGATCATTTGATGGGGACTATAGATATGGAATCATAGATTACAGGTCTTTATGGACCTATGGTTTATGAATGGCTTATTCTTCACACCTCTGTATGCCTGCTCTGTATGTAAAACAAGCATAGTCTTTGTCAGTTCATCTATAATGTCTGAACCTCCCTTTACGGTCACACAGCTGTGTCTCCCGTAGCTTTACAAAATAGGCAACCCCCTGCCAGTTACACCTGGTTCACACAGCGATGGTCCAAATGTGAGGAGGTGTGCACGGAGGCAGAGTTTGAAGTTATCGCTCAATCATCACTTTGAGCTATTTCTGATGCTTTTCGATGCTTCAAAGTGTGTTTGTTATCCCCATCTGTATGATTCATACGTTTAAAAACGTTCCTGTTACATGTTTGGACAACACATCTCCTTGAAGCATATTGACGTTCTGCTGATAGCTATCAGGCAGTCCAGTCTCAATATGATAGAGGCTCTGCCATTATCAACATACACAATATGTAAGATACATTTCATACTAGACCACCTGGTTATTTCAGTTGGATGAGTGAACTGAACGGGGCTGATAACCCACCAGAACCATCCTTTTTCAGTTTTAGTGGAGAATTTGTGAACCAAACCAGGTGATGCGTTCAATGACATTAAGAAGGGTGAATTGGGTATCAAAATATTTGTGTCACTCTAGACGAAGGCAGATCCGATTAGTGCAGTCAAGGCACTGAGCTCTCTTTGTGAATGTCCATCAGGACTGTGTGTGTGTGTGTGTGTCTGCCATCCACAGCATGTGTCAGCTTAACTGTGGCCCTCCCCTGAACCTCTGCTCAATGCGTCCAGTGTTGCGCTGAAGCACAGCAGGCTCATTCATGAGGATCTGCAGCAGTGTGGGTAAACAGTCTCGCTCTTCCGGGAGCTGTAAGTGTGACTTTCTCCACTGAGGAATGGGAAGGAAATGAGAAAGAGCATCGTTAGTCTTGGCTCATCTGCCTCATGCTGCATGCTGTTTAATGTTGGCCACTGATCGGTAGCACAGGGATTAACCATGCACGTGTTGATGTGTGATTATTAAATCAAGTAATTCACGCTGAGTAGAAGTTTTTGATCAGGTCTGTGCTGTTTGCTGCAGGTTCCTTTTGACCTGCCTATTCATCCCACAGTAGATTTTGTCACTGAAATGTTGGTTGACTATTAAATCATTCATTCCTTCTCTTGTGTGATGGGATCAGACATAAATTTGACATAAATTCCTTCCCTACTTAACTCTTTACTATCTACCTCAGTTTCAGAGTACACCTGTACTGATCGTGGAGCTAGCACCTTGGCGGCGAATATGGAAGTCAGACAGGTCGGCTGCTAAACTGTTAGCAGTACTGCAAATTTGTTGAGACAATATACGAAGTGGCAGATACAGTCACAGAGTTCCCTACTTGAAGTAAAAAGCAAGAATTACACAAAAAGTTTTATATCGCGAAGCAACAACGCCAGCGTCCTCTCACATCTGGGTGAGTATCGGTCCTGCTCAGGCTTGGCTGTTGTCCAGGAAAAAGCAGTAAGCTGTTGAAGAGAACCTCTAACTGGAATGGTAATATTGTTTTAAATAAGACTTTCATGGGCTTTGGCACTGGCCATTCACTGATGTTAGGAGTATAAGCACTTTAACTTGCGAGAGCTGCAGCGCAGGAATGGATCTGTCAGCTACTCATTGCTGATACTGCGAAGCAATCTGCCGAACCTCTACGATTTTGACAAGGATCCTCATCAAGGACTAGGTTGACATGGTGAGCAACAGGGTAAATTGAAACACAGACCCAATCTCATGTGGGAAAATATGCAAAGTGGCTTGCAGTGGAAGCAGGAAAATTAGGCAGCTAAAGCAGCTTAAATAACATAGGAGGGAAGCAGCTGAGCCATCAGTTGGTGTGGGCTGACATGGAGATCTGCTGCTATCAGTTTAAATGCTGGATTGTGGCTAAGCTTGACTTCTTAACCTGCCTGAACTAACGCTTAATGTTTGTGCTGTTTGTTTAGAGTTTTGGCAAAATTAGCCAAAGTTTCAGAAACACCATAAGACTGTTACATTAGGTGAACTAAATACTTTAAATTGTGTTTATGTGTGATTGTGGTCCAGTGTGAGCCCTGTGATTGATGGGTGACATGTCGCCCAATGTGTGTTTGAATAGATAAGTTGAAGTAAATCACTGTTTTTTTTAATAAATAAAAGTCAATATACATGTTTGAAGTGTGACTGTTGAGAAGATGATAGAAACAGAGGCACCACAGCAGCAGAGGTTTTTCACAGGTGGCTGTGAGAATCCTGACTGTTGGCTGAACAAACAGCCAGTGGCGGAATCAGACAGTACATTCCTCTGGAGACTTCATTTTTCTACTGCCTGCTCTCTGTTGTGTGTTTCCATCTTCTACTCACTTACACAGATACTCCAAACCCACCCAGGATGTAAGTTTTTCTCATCAGGCGAATGTTCATTGGCTTGGTCAGAGCACACAGAAACAAGTAGATGACATAGAGAACAGACAGGTGATGAAAAGAGAAGCTGTCACCATATATCAGCTCAGGATGACAAGTCTACTACTCTGTAATAATCTGTAATTCTGTTGTTACGGTTACTATCTGTTCATCCATGAAACACTTATTGGTTAAAGAAGCATGACAGTGTTTATCAATTACTTTATGCATAAAGTCATAAAATGGATTGACCATAACCAACTTGCTGGTCCCAGTCTCATGCCAACCTAGTGAATGCTGCAGATTCATTGGGCTGAATGGCAGAGTAGATAAGTTTTTCACTGCTCATTTGTCAGATCTACAGGAACCACAGAGAAAGATGCACTCTCACAGCCATGTTCCTGTATAGTACATACTGGTTCCAGTCCTGTAGTCCACTCTCAATAATGAGGACTAATCTAAGTTGGTAAACTTGCTTTGTCGATGTGGATGATGATTTAATAGTTTTCTAACATGTTGTATGTCATTGTTTGAGTGTGTGTCTGTGTTTTGTCTTTCGCCATAGATTTATGGAGTTGTTAATCAGAAACATTATTACCAAAGCAAAAAAATGTCCATGTTCGATGTTCTATTATCAAATTGCATATTCAATTATATTAAAAAATAGCAAAGTGAAGAATTTCTCTCTTTTGTTTGTGTTTGGGTGTGTGTGTGTGTCAGCTGTTCCCAGTCCATGTCTATTGTTGTGGTTGTCTACTTTGTGTGAATAAACTCACTGTGTATTGTTGATCCCAGGCTTCTGCCTTACATTACAGCCATCTATTTCAGACCCCCTGGCCTCCTTACTCACTGTGCTTAGGGAGACTGGCAAACAAAAGCTCATCCACTGCACACATGGTTTCAAGTGCTGTGTGTGTGTTCCGCAGAATCTGTCAGATATGGCAACACATATGGCTGTCAGTGCTGCTGGTGTCGCCCCGGTTCTGTGTAAGCATCTGTCAAACATTTCCACACCCATGTTTCAAAGTACTCCATGAGGGGGATTGTGCTGCTGCTACTGTGCAAGGCTGCTGCGGTACTAAGAGAGTATGTTATTTGGTTATGGGGGTCAGGGTTCTTTTGATTTGGTTTTCATGACTTGGTGACTAGGTTTTCAGATTGTCCGTCCTTCTGTCACATTCTTGTGAACACAATTACTCAAGAATGCTTTGAAGAAATCTTTTCAAATCAACATTTAGCTTTAAAAGTATCATTGAACCCATGTTTTCATTTCTTTGAGCACACCAATATACTGTTTTGAAAATATGCAGCTGGAAAAGGGCTTTAAAATGATGTGAGCCGATTTGACCTAACACCTCCACCTCTGTGTTTGTCCTACACACACCTACACTCAGTCGCCCATTCTCTCTCCTTTTTTGTAGATGTCATCTCTGCAACTCATTTCAACCCTTACTTCAGACGGCTGACATTTGATGTTTCCTCTATGGAGAAGAATGCATCCAACCTGGTGAAGGCTGAGCTCAGGATCTTCCGTCTTCAAAACCCTGTGGCCAGAGTGTCTGAGCAACGCATCGAGCTCTACCAGGTACACACACACGTTCGATCCAATGTCCTGAATCATACAGATAAAAAAGGAAAAAAAAGGTTTACAGTCTGTATTTGGGGCCATCGAGTGATGCAATGTATTTAGCTCTTGCATCCTCTGCTTCACTGTTATAAGAATGGAATAAATGCTTGTAGTTACAGCATTTATGTTAGTACTAGGCTGTAACTAGTACAGACTTCCTGTACTCCCTTTTTAGACAATGAATTATTTCAGTAATCCAAGGCAATACAGGAGGATAATTGAATTTTAATGAACAGTAAATAGGAGCGATGCTATCTAAAGTTAACTGTAATTTAAAGAAAGGGTCTCAAAACAAGAGACATCATTTAAATGTAACTGAACACACTCGAAGGTCTTTTTGAAAATAACACCTAGCCCACAACCAAGACCACATGGTCTGGGGAAGCCGATAAAATCATAATCAAACAAGCTGTGCCCATCTGCTTTGGACCAGGTGTCAGTAAAAACGTAAAGATTTTCAGATGAAAGAAAATCACGTGGGGAGTGCCACATTAACAGTGGTGGGTCCATATCCAGAAATCAGAGGGAGGCATGAGTTATGGGTGGGGGGTGGCGTGGGTAGGACCTAGATGTGAACATGCCCTGGAATGCTGACTGCCGGGAGGCGTTTCTTGCTTCATTCAGGAACCTTTGGTGCCACATTGTAACAACTTGTCAATGCCTTTTTGTCTGCATACTAAGCTAGTGTTAGATATCCCTGATAGGCAAGGAGGAAAGAGAGGGCTGGAAAGAATCAGTGGTATTGTCTTTGTTGAACTGGGCAGGGGATTTGGTTTGAGGCATCTGGGGATCTACCTTCTGATTCTTCCCTCATCCCAGACAATGTCTCTCTAGACCTCAGTGTTGTCGAGGAGGTCTGTAGTCTTGCACCCTTGTTTAGCAAATGGCACATATCCATATAGCTGTTAGTTTCAAGCAGGTCTGAGTCACTAAGGGGCTCATTAAATCAAAGTGATGCTTTGCAAGTGTCAACAATCCATCCTCTTGTCTTGAAGTTGACAGATACTTTTTTCCAGCTAAATGTTTCTTTGCACTGTTGAGCCCTGACAAGCTGTTCAACTGTGAGCTGGGAACAGGCAGGGGTTGCCAGTTAGGATACAGGTATTGGGCTGGACTGTATGTGGTGAAACCAAGACTCAGGGAGAGAAGCAGTTCCCAGTGATCAACAGGCAGACCACCAAACAAGGATCCAAAAAGAAGAGCCAAAAACAAAGTAGGGCAGGCTGAGCAGAGCAGGATGAGCATGGCGATATTTCATGCATGGCTGGATGTTGGATGACAAAAATTCACATCAATCAGACAGACTGACAAAGTTCCAAAAAACCTGAAAATACAAATATTGAGAAGAGACAGTAGCATGTCTAACCACTGTGGTTGTTTGATGACCTGGTGAAGTCTGGTTGCTTGATCTAATGCTAAAATACTGCCTGTTGGTGTGGCATTGATTAAAGCTGCAGTTATGCTTGACTGATTGATTATTATGTATGCAAACTGTGGTCCATTCCCCTTTCTCACTTGAGGCATGGTAACTTGCCACAGAGAATAATACAACCACACCACCGGAAAAAGGCAAAGAGCAAGAAACACAAACAGAATAGTTTTGGCACTGCCTTGTTTCTTCCAGGAACACCCCAGACTTGTGCATGCTTCTGTGGTCACAGAGAAATCTTTCCATAGTTTCCTGAAGAATGTCTCATCTTTACCAACAGTCTCTGCTCCCTCCAGGAGCCATCTGGGAATCCCTATGCTGCCTCATTAATGAGGGGGTCATGGAGATGTCTCTAGAGACAGACCAGTTAACAGTCTTTTGCCTCCAGCTCATGTTGTGCTAGCCACACTGTGCATGCCAATTTAAAAACCTTGGGAGGTGTGCAAGGATAGTAAGAGCAAGCATATAAGGGGGATGCATAAGAGGGACTTCAGAGAGAAGGAACCACATGAGGCCTTGTTGATCTACAGCCTCAGGGGGGTTTGAAGCACCAATGCACACAGCAAAATGACAGTATAGTTTAAATGTTTTCAGCCCAGTTCTAACATAAAAGAGGTAACTTCTGCATTAAGGTTTTTGTCTTGAACTGAGAGTTTTAGCTTTCTCCTGTTCTCGTTTGAGAACATGTTGCATATTTAGTAACATATTGCTGCATCTATGGCCTTTTTATTCTCCTGGTCATTTTCTTCTCTCAATAGTGGCATCATAATCATAATGTCCATCTCACCAATGTTAGGCTTCCTGCTTTCCAACAGTGCTGTTGCTTTGCTGTTTTCGTTTGCGCTTACCTTGGCTATTGCCATAGTTCATTATTTTTATGAGCTCCTTAGTACCGCATAAGTGTGGCCGACCAACAGCACAAGCCTGCACTGCAGTGACTGGATATTGCTTTGGCCTTTTCCACAGATGACTACCACAAATTTCTACATAGTATTGCAGTGCTGGAAACCAAAGTTCAGCTGTTAGAGGTGAACATTGAGGTAAATAATGAACTATGTGGAGCATGAATGCCAAGAAACAGAAGGGTTAGACAACCTGCCATCCTTTCAATCACAGTAACACAGTTCCCCTTATCCACTAAGACATATTAAAGAGTTTCTACATTTGTACATTGATTGTGTGGCATCATTCTCAACTGTCCAAGTGAAGCACACCTTGTGTAATAATATAAAGTATATATGATTTTCTGTCCCACTACATTGATCTATTACACTTCTGGTTTGCCCTCAGATTTTAGGACACAAAGATCTGACTTCCCCTACACAGCGGTATATTGACAGCAAGGTGGTACGAACACAAACAGAGGGAGAGTGGCTGTCTTTTGATGTCACAGAGGCAGTGAGTGAATGGTTGAACCACAGAGGTGAGTGCATATTTCCTTCATCGCTGTAGCTCATCCTTATCACGTACTTCACATGCTACCTTATGACATAATTTTTATCATGACCTTTGTTTCTCTAAAGACAGAAACAATGGATTCAAGATCAGCCTGCACTGCCCCTGCTGCACATTTGTACCATCAAATAACTACATTATTCCCAACAAGAGTGAAGAATTGGAGGCACGGTTTGCAGGTTATATGATTAAAATAATTGTAAATTGTTGTCCAAGTCTAATAACGCTGGTGTTATTCTATGTTTTGTTATTATCAAGAAATCCTATGGATAGACGAAAGCCAACAATGCAATAGAATGTCCATTCCAATTTCCCTGTCCTATTCTGTCCTGCTATGGCTAGGTAACATTTATATTTGCTTTTAACAGCAGTGAAAAAAAGATGATATATTAATAGACAGTACTTTTCATTCATTGGCTGGACTGGATATGGGAGGTTGGGTTTGTGTGTTGTAGAGGGTGATACCCCATAGCCATATTCTGCAGCTACCCAGAGATTGAGCAGTTAGCTGTGGTGCTATGTCCATACAGTATTTCCACAGGGTTCTCACACGCCACCTTAGTTGTTATTTGCCCTCCAATCCCCACAAACTGGCAACCACCAGCAACATCTTCTAGGTAATGAACACAACACAACAGTGACAGGACCCTGCTGTAAATAATGTCAGAGGTCTGGAGGACACTACTTTCTGCACACTTGCAAGTGTAGTTTTTTTCTATTCACATACATGTCATTTATAGTAGTTTAGCAGCTTTTTTAAATTATTTAATTCCTCTTTTCAGAATCTGTGTTGAGAAATTATTTTAAAAAAGCTATTTACCTGCTCTTATATTTGATGGTATGGCTCTATTCTGGGATCTACCTGCCCTTCCACATGCATACATGGAAAGCCTAAGGTAGGGAGAGCGCACCTCTCTCCCTGCAATGAGCCTTCACAGAAATTCAGGCAGTGAGAGCAGCAGCTAAAAGACCTGGACACAGAACAGAGCAGGCATCAATGAAAACACACAACACTGATTATGTCAGATTCAGTATGAACAGAAGGGGCTGGGGTGGAGGAGGGATGTGAAGTGCCTTGCAGTTAGAGCAGGAAGAGGACTGTAGCTGAGCTTGACTTTGTGACCTGCATGAACAAACCCTATGCACAATTTAGTAGGAGGCATAAATTGTTGGTTATATTCATTTTTTATATTGCAAGTTGTATATTTTATGAATACATGTGTTATATGAGTTATTGAAACACATAAACCTACTGGGACTACATTTTCAACAGGGTCTAATTCATCCATTCATTTGTTCATTCACTGAGCTCCTTGTACCATACACTTCCTTGATTTATTTAAATGTGATATTTTGATCTGTTGTATGCAGTGAGATGCAGCTCATTGTTTACTCTGTATGTTTGCAGGTATTGATGACAGCTTCATTCATGGTGGTGACCTAAAGGTATTTAAGAGGCGGCGTCACAGTGCTCGGGCTCCACACCTTCTCCTCATGCTTCTCCCTTCATACCGGCTGGAGTCCCAGTCCCGGCACAAGAACCATAGATCCAAGAGGGCCCTGGATGCTGCCTACTGCTCCAAGTACTTACCTGGGACTAACTCTTACTGTCATCACACACACACACACACACAATCACCTTTCTGACAGAGTCACATTGGACTGTAGTCCTGCTCAATGTCACAGTGTGTCAGGAGACATTGCATGTTATGCATAATATATTCATTCATTTTAATGAGACATATTTTGCTCATATTCAAGTTCATAGTTTAAATTTAGATTTTTACTTGAAAAAGTTTCCATGGACTGTTCATAAAATGCATCACTTTCCTCATACTGTCCGTTGCTGCAGCTGCTCTTTTCAGCCTCTGTCTGAAACTCTTGATTTTAGCCCCTGTCTCTTTAAGGACCTCCTCCCTAAAAAGCCTCTGATTGAACCGACTGGCACCCACTGTTGTGATTGGACAACTGCTTCCACTGCTTGTAGGAAATGTCGTCTTACGCTCTCCTCGCTTTACGTGGCTTTGTTAGGGGGCTTGCCAGACTAGAAGCTAGGCATCCATTATGAGGATTTATGACATGACATCATATGAAATGACTCATCAGAGGTATCAGCCAGGCTACTGACAAGGCATCTCATGAGCCTCAGAGGCAGTGTTTTCTGTGGGGGAGAGAAGCTCCCTTCACCACAGAACTTTTACATACACAAAAACCCGTATAACACGAGAGGAAAAGGGAAAAACTGAACAAGCACAACATGTCTCCTTTAACAGATATGGAAAATTCCAAAAGCAGGATTAACCTTGACTACAGTGATTTATATAGATAGAAATAATGACCACATTCAAAGGAAAGTACAAACTATAAGTGTAAACTGGAACTTGTCAACATGAATAACCTCCCTGCTGTATCTCTTTGTAGAAATGTGCAGGACAACTGCTGCTTGCGTTCACTCTACATCGATTTTAAGAAGGACCTGGGCTGGAGGTGGATCCATGAGCCAAAGGGATATGAGGCCAACTTCTGTGCCGGGGCATGTCCATATCTATGGAGTGCTGACACGCAGCATTCCAAGGTAGTGACTGGGGAATAATAATGTGGTTAATCAGTCTGTGGGATCAGTTGGTATGGTTAGTAACCTTTCAGTATTAATTTCCTGATGGTAATCTTTCTGTTCTAGGTATTAGGCCTTTATAACACCATCAACCCTGAAGCATCAGCGTCACCCTGCTGCGTCTCCCAGGACCTGGAGCCCCTCACCATCCTCTACTACATAGGCAAGACTCCCAAAATAGAACAGCTCTCCAATATGAAGGTCAAGTCCTGCAAGTGCAGCTAGAACCCCTAACAGGCCAGCATCAACACTAGATCCCCTGCCACACGCACACACACACACACTCTATCACACACACACACAAACTACATACAAACAGTCAAGCCATGACTCTACTGTACAGTGTTTACACACAGGTAGGGTCAGGAGGCGTGTGAATTACAGAACAATTTAGTGGTACTTCATTGAGTACACAACACACATGATCCGTGCTTCACCAGAAAACCTGACTTTGATACCAATGCTTTAAGGCTGATATAAACAGAGTTGCGCTGCACTATGTGGGCGACATAGGTTCACAATGCCTAATGTTGATAATAGCAAGTTGTGCCGAATAAAGGTTGAGTCCAGGTCAAGGCAGCAGGTGGTAGTGTAATGTTTGGCTGTCCAATCGTCAAGAGCTGTTGGCTATCCAACATCAACATGCAGCTTTTTTACACACATCAAACCCCCTCCTGGAGGAGAACCAGAGCAGCCATTCAGTGCTGCACAAGTATCAATTTCATTGGGGCCTTATTCCAACCAACTGTTCATAAGAAGAAATTTATTTTTCAAACCCAATTATGCAGGTATCCACCCTCTAGTCCAGATGCTCAGCTGACAGTACAGCCGCAAGTGCTGAGTTTCCAGTGATGGTCCCCAAGCGCTGGTCCAGCTCAGATAACTCTGGACAGCCTGTCCCCCTCCCCTTACCTTTTCCCTTTCCCCCTCTCTCCACTGTGTTTGACAATATTTCTTTTGACTTCAGATTTGAGATCAGATCACTTTTTCTACATCATCAACTGTGCCACTTTCTCCCGATAGAGCTTTCACTGAACATGTAACTGCTTCTCATTTAGCGTTGTTTTATATCCATTGCTAATGCTACAAACTTAACAGGTTTTTAACCTCTGCTGTGCCACGGTCTTAAGATTTTTATTTAGGCATTCTCGACTCCTTAAATTTCCCTTTAAATTTCTGTAATCTCTGTGATTTCTGTGATTTCCCGCAATTTCATGCCCTATTATGGGCATAAACTTGGCATGTGCCTTTGCTAATTAGGAATAACATAAGAACAGAACATAAGTGTGAACAAATCAGCAGTTTAATGACGTAAGGATGTAAGGTTTGTCAGGTACTTCCTTTAGAACTAATTTAAGAGGCCATTGGTTAATGGCCAAACAAATCAAACACTTAATTTTTATCCTACAGCAAGTGAAAATCATGAAATATTCTAACATATGAAATGAGAAGCTTTTCATTATGTACCGCTGTTTATTGTTGAAATGGATCCTTCTAGCACCTACAGTATTTCTAAACCAGATTAAATGGAATGGGAACCAGTCGATGATGATTATTTAGTTGATGCAAAGTAACACCAAGTGAAGTGGCTTCAGCTGCGGTACTGT